CACCGACGCAAGGACGGCCGCAGGGTCATTGTGGGTATTGCTCTCATTATGAACTGGCGTCTGTTGAACCAATACTGCAAAGGACGGGAGACGCTGATCCAGGCCTGCTGGGTCCCGGACGATGGGGCCAGGGCGAGGCGCAGGGAGACCACTATTTGCGGATCTTTTTTTTTGTTGGAAGGAGATATGTTTGATTCCAGTGTCTGCCTTGAACTGCTCTGGATCTACAATGTCGATTCGAACGGTGTGGACCGGGTCTTTTTCCCATCGCTCCGGCGCTCCGTCCTTGATGATTGTCTGCTTTGCCAGGCCACCGGTACCAATCGTCATCTCATGCTTGGGGTATGCGTGGCGAAGTGGTTCGTTGCCCTCGGACAGAGCACTCGGCGCATAATACCTGGCTCTGGATTGCTGTCTGCTGAATGCGACCTCTTCCTCGGGTTTGAGAATAGGCAACATAGCACCCCTCAGCTCCAATGGCAGAGTCGCTGATAGGACGGAGTCCTTGCTGCTACGCTTGGCCTTCTTGCCTTTCTTGCCGGATGTACCCCCCCACTCAGCCAAATCGTCCTGGGCAGGTGTATCTACCACTAGTGCTTCCGCAGGAAGCTCACCTTTAGCAGTTGATTCTTCGGTCTGCGCATCCTCCACAGTTGCAGTTACCTCCTCAATAATCACCTGCTCATCTGTTAGCCTCAAAAAAGTCGTCAAGCTTCCGTTGAACACTTACCTCTGGCTCCAAGGTCGTCTCCTGTGGCAGCTTCTCGACAAGAGAGGAATATTCTTCTTCCACTATGTCGCGCCGCGCCCGTTTCTTTTTGCCTTTCTTCGACGTCGTGCTAGCGAACGGTTGCGACAGGACTTTCTCGTTAGTGGGCTCATCCTCAGCCGTCGCCTCAGATACAGCAGAGTTGGACGCCTTGGGCGTCATCTTCTCTGACCCAATCAAGTCAGTGTTTATTCCGTCACCCGTCTCGCTGATACTGCCGGGTTGGCTTGTCTCCGTATTTGAAGTTTTGCGCTGCTCGGGGGGGGGGGGGGGGGGGGGTTGTCCGGTCGGTTGACAGGTAGCGTGGGGAGCTCGCCATTCTCGAGCGGGGGAGAGTCTGGAGACCCGGGCTCGCTAGGTGGCAGCGGGAGGAGATCGCCGAACTGGGGGTCAATGGCTGTTTTGATCTCGCGTTGGGTGATAAAAATCCGCTCGGCATCATCGTCGGATGGCGGGGTGGATTTGGGATGGGACAGCAGCTCGGCTGTAAGAGCAGCGACCGCGGCGCCTGTCAAAGCTGGCACCAGCGCCATCGTCTTCCTTGCTATCATTCTCGAGACGGCCATTAGATAGTGTGCTGGCTAGCTCCGAGACGACAGAGCTTACGTCGCGGTCTATCAGCTGAAATGATTCCCTCGGCCGGTCAGGTGGTTTATCCATTTCTGGTATGTCGTATTCGTCCATGGATTGCCGATGGCGCTTTTTGCCTTTCTTGCTGCTAGGAATATCTCCATCACTGTCTAAGCCTGCAGGATTCAACAACCAATGGCTCATTAGGAGTCTCGGTTTCGATTATCTCAGTGTAGATTTGAATCTCGATATAATTAGTTGGTCTTGTTGGCGCCGTGAACCAGCGTTCCGAGGGAGAAGGCTCTAGGAGATGACTTCGGTCAGCAACCGTACCATGTCCCAGTGGGTAAGCTGAAGGGAACGGGCGACGGCAACATACCTAGACGCAACCCCGAGGATCTGAAATTGTCGAGCCAGGCCATCTGCCACCCGTGTACCGAATATCCATTGTTGATCGGGGGCGATGAAGTAGTCTTGTACTCCCGATGCATCTGCGCTTGCCACGTTCACGCCGCCGGCTTCAACGCAGAACTTGAAGGGGGCTCCATCAACGGAGGCGGTGGCAGACCCAAATCGTTGCCCGGCCTCGCTCGGTAAGGGACAAGACTCTCGACGTCCCAGGAAAAAGCGGCAAAGCCGTCCGAATACCCCTGCGCCCGCGGGCATAAAACCAAAACCACAGCCAAACGCCATGTTTAGATTCCGAAGGTCCTGCCGACAGCTCCCTCAGCATCACTGGAAACATCACCGGGTATTCTGACCTTCGCCCTCGGTGTCTTCTCGTTTTGTGCAGCATTTTATGCTATCAGGTACAATGCGCACCGGGAGTTCCAGGACCTCAAGGACGCTGTCGAGGAAAGAAAATCCCATGTCGACGAGCTCGAGCGATACTTTGAGGAGCTAGACGTCGCAGCAGACGCCGACTTTGAACAGTCGCCGATTAAGCCCATCATCGGGAACTCCCTGTCGAGTCTGAAAGAGAGACATCTGGAGATGGAAAGCGAGCTCAATGCTATCAAGGGGCGCTTTGCAATGGTGGTATCTACGAAAAGAAATGACGTCGTCGCTGGCGAGGATCGAGACCCAGCTGCAGCACTTGGAGGCGATCCAGTTGGCTTTGCTGTTGTTGTGAGAAACGCAACCCCCTCGGTTGTGCGACGAAGGACTAATCTGCAGCTAGGAAAATAAAACGGCAGAGTAACCAGCTGGACGAGCTTGGGAGACTGCTTGGGAAGTTAGTTCACGATGGGTGATCCATTCTACTTGTTAAAAAGAAAGAGGTTCAGGGACCCTGGTCATCTTGTCAGCAGAGCTAACCGGTTGCCTCTCACTGCATTACTGAAAGAAGGAAGAATTTTAGAACTATTATAATTTAATTTTAGAGTAATGAACGTTCGGTGCTTTTAGTGCAGTGGTAATGCGCGACAGCATAAAGTAGGGGCCGTGTTGGATGCTATGGATGGACCTGGCTTTAGTCTCAGCTCCATGATCGAAAGAGAACAAAGACCTTGCACCATTGCATCCTCAGTAACGCTTATCAGTGAATCAGATATAGTGCTGGGAGCCGATCATCCACGTTCCAGAAACCTCTTATCGGACCAAGTGTAGCCTCAGTGGGTTAGCGACAGCATATCTTGCAGACGCCGGCCATGGAGCGACAAACAAGGTCGTTAAAGTGCCCCTAATGCATGCTTGCAGCAATGGAATGATGGAGGCGTGGGAATTGCATAGGCCTGTTTGAAGCCGGTCCGACGTCGGATACAAGACCTGGCACTCGGCAAACCGTGGACAGTGCGTCGCGAAGTTCTTAAAGACCCGCGTTGCGGCTTTGGCGGATAGCTCCAGCGTCGATATCCCCCTCTCCGGGCTCCTCCTGATCAATGTCTAACAGAGCAAGAACAGTCCCTTTATTCGTGGGAGATGAATCATCGATCTGCGGCGAGGTACCATCTCCAGTCAATAGCGCACATGTACTAGTAAGATGGGGGATAATCTCCTCGATGGCTTGACGATCTAACATTGTTAAGTAAGTACATGGCCAGCCTGGCCCGGGATAACATCGCCACCCTATACCAGCATACCAGCCGTCCTATCCCGAAATCCATCGCCATTTACTCTCTCAGACTCGCTTTCCCCCCTCTATCATCAGAACCAATAACCTGCCCGAGACTGGCAAACAGTTCTAAATCTTACTCTCCCCCTTCTTCTGACCAGTAGCACCCTCTCCTCCAGTGCGTCCAGCCGTATTCCTCTCAGCACCCAATATCAAATTAACATGCTGACTCAACGCAACCAACTCCCCTTCCGCATCAAAGATCAACACCTCGAGATCCAGCCGGCCATTCTTGATCTCTTTGGCAAGAACCCTCATCCTCAACCACCTCTTTCCTCCGTCAGCCAAACTCTTCTTCAGCTCCAAATTCATCACAACAGTAGGATACCAAAAGACCGTGTCCGGTGCAAACGGAACCTTGTCTCTAACCATCTGCTCCCTTGTTTTCGGTCGGTACGACTCGATCACATAAGGCCAGCAATCGGCCACGTATCCCAATGACGCGTTACTGAAATTTTCGCCGCAGGCTAATTTGACCCACACGTCCACAACTGACTTGGTCGTCTGCCCTCGGCGCGGGACATGGTAGACGATATTGTCTAGCGCTCTGTTGAAACTTGTTCCGGTGGCCGGTTTCATTACCACCCAAAAAGGGTCGGTGCCGTTTTCGAGTGCTCCGAAACCTGCGGTTGGTGGTGGCGGAGGGGCTGGTGCTTGCAGCGAGAAGCCTGTTGGTAGTGAGATACCCTTTTCTTTGCGCAGGTCCGTCATGGTGAAGTAGGCTACTATTGCCTTGCGGGATGAGGCAGGTGAGATCCATGGTGCTTGCGGGAGGAGGGAGCCCTGGTAGAGCGTGGCGTGGAGAGTGGAGAGCTGCCGGCCGAGCTTGATGTCTTCTATGACGATCACCACCGGGCCGACTTCGGTGCGGTTGAGGAACTCGAAGTGGCATGTTAGGGGATCTGTTTGGCCTCGTGAGGCTAGGTGGACGGTTGCTGCTTGGAGGATGCACGAGGAGACGTAGCCGCCGTTGGGGACTGTTCCGATGGCAAAGGTTTCTGACAGAGTCGCGGCGTAGGTGTGCAAGTCGAGTCTGTCGACCTTGATGGCCTCGGGGTGGAACGGGATGATCGCGGGTTTGGACGTCATTCTGTTGATGTCGATGAAGCGGGGAGTTTCCCACTCAACTTTCAGTTATTTTCGTTGGGTCAATTGTACTCGGCGATGAATGTAGTGATTGGGTGGACCCAACGTAGGTTGAAGCAGGTTAAGGTGGAAGCAGGGCGTATCGTCGCATTTGGTACCAACACTTTGATGCACCAAAGCTGAGAGAGCTGAGGTTGGGTCAGAGCGAGACGGGCGTTGAATATTAATCCCGTTGCCCCGCTTTTTTACCTCGGCAACGTCTTTTCGTGTGATATCATTCGTCAGTGCTGATTCGGTGTTCGAAGACCGAGCAGTGCCGGGCGGCCGCGAAGCTCACTCCATATAAAAAAAGGAAAGATGGTCGAGTTGGTGAAATATAAAGTCATTTCAACAACAAAAAGATGGTTAAATTGGGGCAATACAAAGTCACCCAATAATAATAAATCCCAGAAAGCAAAAACATGGACAATACCGGATTTGAACCGGTGACCTTTCACAAGGCGCATTTAGGTTCAAGAATGAGAACTGGATGCGAAGCGAAAATCATACCCCTAGACCAATTGCCCTGATCGGTTGTTTTGTCTTTGTGATATCTGTCTCTATCAATGTTTTATTGAGAAGATGTCGAAGTTTAGGGACCCTGGCTTGCCATCCTTGTAAACCTCGGCTATCTGGGTTGGCGGTGGAGCGTATCATCACCGAATTTTCCCTCCTAAAACACGGTGACCCCCACACATCAGACGCGTCGCTGGATTTCACATGTCAAACAACTAAGGTAGCCACCAACTGCCGGCGGCTCAACCTGTCAAGATCTTTGGGACATTCTGATACGCCAGGTCGCCAGCAACAGACAGTTATGAGCCCCCGAATAGGAATAACTCCCGATGCGGTCTTCGTTTTGGATTACATTTTGTCCGTTTTTTGCTTGTAGCTCCGCCCCAACGGTCTGGGTCGTTGTCTTCGTTGAGGATGACATAATCTCTCTCAGCCCTAGCCGGGTCCTATGCTGGTTGGTGATGGAGCTCAGGGATATGATATGGAGTCGACGGTACCTGTCAATCTCAATCTTATAATTCCACATCATATCATCAATCTCTTCCACTTGAGTTTGCTTGTAAACCTCCTGATATTCACTCTTCAACCCCTCCACCAGAGTACCAGTACCTAGCAACCCATGCACTTATTACCTTGATCTACCTGATATCATCGCCACAATGTCCGAATCAACAACCCTAATCGAAAAGAAGCCAGAAGAGGTCCTCCCCGGCTTCACCAAACTCAGCAAACAAATCCTCGTCAAATCCCCCTCCACAAGCTCACAATCCTCTCCCACGGACCCAACAACAATAATCATCTACGGCTGGGGTGACGCCCGCCCAAAACACATCGCCAAATATGTCTCAGGCTTCGAGACCCTTTTTCCCGCAGCAAAAATCGTCCTCATCTTCTCTCCAATCCTAAAAGCGTTGTACCAAGTCCTCGAGACCCGCGCAAAGACGATGCACCCCGTCCTGGAAGCCGTTTTCGGTTCTACCTCAGTCGAGGCCCTCACCTCCCCATCAGCCAAGAAAGAACGCATCCTGGTGCAAGTAATGTCCAACACGGGGGGCATCAACTTCGCCGCAACCCTCTACGCCTATCGCCAAATCGTTGGGCCTGGCCATCCACCATTCCCGCATCAAATGTTGGTGTGCGATTCTACACCAGGAAGCACGCATTTCATGACCAACATCGGGCCGTGGTCAAAAGCGCTGGCCGTCGGCGCGGCGACCTACCTACCGTGGCCGTTTGTCATCACTCGCGCGCTGGCGGTTGTTTTCCTGGCGACGATGCATGGCTTGGCTGTGCTGATTGGGGAGCAGTCTGCGGCCGAGTTTAGTACCGGTGCCGTCAATGATCCGAGTTTGTGTGATGTCGGTGCGAAGAGGTTGTATCTGTATTCGAAGGAGGACGATATCATTTTCTGGTATGATATTGAAGAGCATGCGGCCATGGCGAGGGGGAAGGGGTACGATGTTGCCGGGGAGGTGTTTGAGGGGACCGGACATGTGGGTCATTTGAGGGCGCACCCGGAGCAGTACTGGGCTGCTATTAAAGGGAGGTGGGAGGAGGCTGTTGGGAATACTAACAGAGAGGTGGTGGAGTAGTTTATGATCTGTGGGAAATAGGATACTGGATTTGGGGGTAGTAATAATAGGAGTTCTTGAGGATATTCAGGTATGAAGAACGTTGGCGTTCTGTAATGGGATAAATTCAGGGCTTGATAATAACATAGAAATGGGCGCCAATGAGCACACCTTGGCTGTGTCGCTGCATGATCAGGGCTGCGCAGTGTGACAGGAAATACGCAGCCAAGAGACATACAGGCTGCAGGCTGCCATAAGTGGCCGACTTTGGGGTCGGGTTGTGATCCCTCCTCAGCTATTATTCTCTCATTCACAATAGAAAGCTAAAACTGCATGGACGAGCGACCAACAATTTCAGAAACATGAGCTTCATCATGACGCCCTCCGGGCGCGAGCACATGAAGAAGTATGGCGGACATAACTGGGAAAACACCATGACCATAGGCATCGAGTTCGTCGACGGGCAGATGTGCGTCTCGTACCTGCGACCTGTGTTAGACGACCTCGTCCACAAACTCGCGAAACCGGCGCCCGGGGCCAAACCTCACATCTACCAGCCTCTACCGCCGGGTCAAGTCAGGTTCCTCCGCCGTGTCCCGAACCCAACTAGCGTTTGCGAGCATGGCGTGGTATTCGACTTTGTCACCTGCAGCCTCGAGGATGGTACTCACCCCGAGTATTCAGCCATCTCGTACTGCTGGGGTGATCTGCCTGTCGACAACCACCTCGTCCTCGGCGACGGCTCCTACATACCAATCACAGCCAAGGCAGCACGAATCTTGGCCCGCATCGCCGTCTACGCGGAGCATATCTGGCTCGACGCCGTCTGCATCAACCAGGCCGACGTCGCCGAGAAGACACTCCAAATCCCGCTGATGGCGAGCATCTACCAGAGCGCAAGCTCGGTCGAGGTCTGGCTGGGCCAAAAGGAAGGCCTTCCCAGGGTTCTGTCGCCGTCGACACAGGACCCGTCCATCTCGCCAGGCGCCCAGTACCTCATCGACTACAAGATTGACCGTCACGACCCGTTTAGTCCCTACAGCCCAGCAAACGTTATCGATCTGATCTGGTCACCCTGGTTCGAGCGCGCGTGGGTCGCCCAGGAATTTTGCTTCGGCACGAACCACAGGTACCACTTCGGTGACGTGGAGCTGCACTCTCTGTTCTTCGACATGATTCTCAAAGATCTCAAGTCCACCCGGTTCAGTGATGACACCAAAGGCCAGTGTCAGATCCCGTTGCCCCCCATGATCCGCAACTTCCAGACCTTCAGGGCGCTGCGGAATTACCTCCAACATACCAAACAGAAAAACAAGCTGCCTCAGGGTACCGCCCGCCTGGAAGACATCCTCTGCGACTTTTACGGCCTGAAGGCAACCGACCCGCGAGACAAAGTCTTCGCAATGCTCAACTTTGTGGACGCCGAAGCCCGCGAGGACGTCAAACCAGACTACACCCGCCACGCAGCGGACATCTACCACGACACGATGGAATCGGTTCTTTTCCGGGGGACATCGTTCAGACTCATAGGCTTTGCCGGGCTCGCCGCGTCTCGTCCGCTTTTTGCCGATCGACACAACACGCCGTCCTGGATTCCCGACCTGAGCACGCCGCCGCCGCACACCGTCTGGTCTTCTGATGAAGGTGGTACTGGTGGCAGCAGGCGCTTCAAGCCCACCGCTTTGTTACCCAAGAACTCGTACGTGGTGCTCAAGTGCTATCACATCTTTAACGCGCGCCTCAGTCCTGTCAGCGTCATCACAACTCCCGATGATAATACTACTGCCAAAATTGAACTCGATAAAAATTACGAACATCAGATCGCATTCATCGTGCCCCACGGGAAACGCATCGCCACTGTTGCGGATGTCTTACCGGGTGATCGGTCGCAGAATATAGCTCACTTGCCCCGCTTCCTGTCGGCAGCTATACTGCGGACACCTCACGGTGAAGGTGGCCGCGACGCGCTCTGGAAGACGCTGGTAGCCGAGAACCCGGACTGCGTGTCCAAAGGTTCGGCTGGAGCGGGATTTGACCGCCTCTGCGAATTACTCTTGACACAACCAAAGGATGAGGCTACCTCTTCTGGTCCCGAATCGACGACAGGAACTAAAAGTGGCGGCGTCTTGCCGTCATCGCTGTGGAAAGACGATACCCCCGAAGGACGCTACTTCCAGGCCATGCTTCTCGAGGGGGCAGGTTCCACGCGCGGTCTGTTTTGGACTGCTGCCCCTGAAGGGAGTAAAGACGAGGAGGGTTTTGTGGGATTAGCTGCCAACGGCGTTCAGCCTGGCGACGAAGTGTGGCTGATCGTTGGTGCCAGGGTGCCGTTTATTCTCCGCCGCCGGGAGCAGGAGGCAGCAGGAGGAGAAGAGAACAACTCGGAGGATGGATCTAGTAATGACATGGACAATATGATGTCGAAGATGTCTTATTCCTTGGTCTGCGAGGCGTACGTGCATGGGATTATGCATGTGGAGGCTGATATTGCTGGGGAAAGCAAAGGGGTTATTCTGTTTTGAAAAAAAAAGTGTTTTATTACACCACCGGCAGTGTGTCGATTCTCTTCAAACCTGCTCTTGCTCACCACTATGGCCTCCTTGTTTAAGATGGGAATCCCAAACAAACGTTACCTACCGTCCTTCTCCCGCTAACCCCGGCAATTAAGACGTACTATTATGTCCTCAAATCACATGTATTAAAGATTAGACAACTTGGCAAGTCGGACCAAAGAAGCCTTGAACAAGGTCCTCTGCACGGGATTGCCGTCACCGCCTGTCGTCATCTCCAGGCCACGCGTGCCGGTAAAAGAAACAATTACGGAAACGGTCATGTTGACGAAGGGATCGTCTATTTATCTGCAATGGGCTGAGAGTGGGACGAGGAAACGCGTACTTGCTGCTGACTCGGATGACTGACTTGAGCCATCACCCAATGGCAAGACAGTATGCCAGATTCTCAAGGAGCATATAGGATCCATGCATGGTCAACCATTATGTAGGAGCTAGGTCCTCTGCTGACCAGGCTGAACCGAACAAGGAGCACCTTGAGCGTATTAGGGCGAGTACGGTTTCTATACGTCTTTGTCGGTCGTCAACTTACATGCATGTATACGCCTCAAAATCAAAAGTACATATAAACCCCGGGCCTCCTCCTGCGAGGTAAAATGCCTCCCCAGGACATCTATCCCCATCTACAAGTTGAACATCATCCTCAATCTACTTGATCGAATCTCCAAACAGCTCAACATATCAACCACAATGCTACCACCCAAGCTTTTCACCCTGACGTCGCTGGTGCCCCTTCTCATCGGGATACGGCGGTCATCGCCAGAGGGCCGGGTTTTACAGCGTGAAGGGCTACTGCGACGCTCTGGATGGCCACTGGACCGACTGGTGGGCCGACGGCGGCAGCGACGTGTTTCTCAACAACGGCAAATG